AACACATTGACAATTAGTAATAATGAATGAAAAGCAAAATTTGGTGAAAGCACTGAGCACCAACTTTGAAAAGTTAGACATCATTTCTCACAACAGCCTCATAAGATGGATGTCCTCATAAGCCCCATTTTACAGATGAGAAAAGTAATGCACAAGGAGGCAAAGTAACTCACCCAAGATCACACAGTGAATAAGTAACAAGAGCCAGAAATTAACTCCAAATAATCTAACCCCAGGGTCTAGGATTGGGTTCTTAACTACGTATTACACTGAGATTTATTTAATAAAGAGAAATCAGAAAAGATTGTTTCTATGATATCTTCTACAAACACTCAAGTTTCTGAATAGAACTGGGTCTAAAGTCAGGTAATATATGTTCTAGCAACGATATTAAATATTAGAATTCTTCCATCTACCTAAAAGTAAATAAAGCCCTCCTCTTTCTTATTCTCCATTATAGTGATTACAAGAAACTTGTTTTTCAAAGTTGAGAAAGAAATGTAAAGTGCATTATAGGGCTCAGAAACAAACTATCAAAATAAGTATTTGGGATTAGTAGGGCTGTGATATGTACGAAGTTTCAGTTCAGATATATGCCTCAAATCAGGAAGTCCCTTGTGCACTATAAAAAACTATGCTTAAGAGATAAGCCCACATAGATTCTGTTCTATAGAGGAACAGAAAGAAACATTAGCATCTCTACTCCTAATATCTTAATCTCATCCTTTCTAATTTCTATTTTTCTGTGTATAATATTTAAATATTTTAATACCTCTGTTAGGGGGAAAAGGCAGTCCCAAAGCAAATTCCATACAGGCTTTGTGGACTCCACCCCCACCCCAGGTCAAAGCCAAAGACACTGGGAACTCCAAATCCCATCACCACCAAAGGGAAGGTGGCTGGGACCTGAGGGTGGGGTTAAGCAGCCAGGTGGATACAAAAGGCAGACACGTGGGCTTTGGGGGCTTTCTCCATTTTGGGGCCCTCGGCCAGCTTGCGGCGTCCGTCTAGCTCTGAGAGTGACTTTGGGGTTTTCAGGTCGTCGGATCGGGTAGGACGCATTAAAGACTTTATTTCCCTATTTTTTCCCTGAGTTGTACATTTTTCTTATTTTTTTTTTCTTGTAAATAAACCTTTTATTAACCCTTTTGTGTGTGTCTGTAGTAGAGTATTTATAAGTCCCTTTAAAGCGCGCGGGTGAGGACCCACAGCCAGGAACCCGTTTAATATTGGGGTTGTTCTATAACAGCTTGGCGCCCAACGTGGGGCAGCTGTTATAGAGCAACCCCGATATTAAACGGGTTCCTGGCTGTGGGTCCTCACCCGCGCGCTTTAAAGGGACTTATGAATACTCTACTACAGACACACGCAAAAGGGTTAATAAAAGGTTTATTTACAAGAGAAAAAGAAATAAGGAAAATGTACAACTCAGGGAGAAAATAGGGAAATAAAGTCTTTAATGCGTCCTACCCGATCCGACGACCTGGAAACCCCAAAGTCACTCTCAGAGCTAGACGGACGCCGCAAGCTGGCCGAGGGCCCCAAAATGGAGAGAGCCCCCAAAGCCCACGTGTCTGCCTTTTGTATCCACCTGGCTGCTTAACCCCACCCTCAGGTCCCAGCCACCTTCCCTTTGGTGGTGATGGGATTTGGAGTTCCCAGTGTCTTTGGCTTTGACCTGGGGTGGGGGTGGAGTCCACAAAGCCTGTATGGAATTTGCTTTGGGACTGCCTTTTCCCCCTAACACCTCCATATAATTTATAAATAAACATGCTTAAAGAGGGTGACTGTGCAACCAGCAAAAAATAAATTACATCACTGAAGAGATGGTTTGACTTTTATTCTAAAGGTTTCCTTTACACCCTAAAGTTTCAAGATATTTTTAGTTGTTTAACTTGTCACCAGATGATTCTAAAGAACTATGTTGACTGCCATGAAGGCCTTTTTCAGAAACTTTCAACAAAACTTGAATGAAGGACAAATAATGTAGCTGTCATCTGAAAAAAATAAAGCTATATGCCCAGCAATTTGAAGCTCACAAAGACTCAATAATCTTACCAGAACTACGATGAAATGTAAGGACATAGAGCTAAGGACTTGCTATTAATTCCAGTACTATCGCATATTTATTTGCCCCAAGAAGGGCCATTCTGCACTTAGAGAAAACATTTTCTATCATAAGAAGATGGGAGTAAAGGAAGTTCACACTTCAGTTTATAGGCACTGTTAGTGGAAGTGTCAATTCATTCTATCTTTCCAGAGGGCAATTTGGTAGTATGTGTCAAAAATTTAAATGTAAACCTCCTTTGGGCCTCCCCAGTGGCGCAGCGGTTGAGCGCTGGTTTGCAAAGCTGCCCGCAGCCTCTAGCGTCGGTTCAATCCCCGGCTGCTCCCGGCCACCGGAGGAGGGTCCCACATGGCGCGCAGACCTCTCCTGCCGCCCGCTGCTCCCCTCAGCAGTGTACCTTGGTCCTTCTGCCTGCTCTGCTCCCCGCTCTGGCTCTGGTGAATTCTCTCACCCTCCCCCGCTTCTGACTGTATCCGGTGCTTGTATAAATAAATAAATAAATCTTTAAAAAAAAAAAAATGTAAACCTCCTTTGACCTAGAGATACCATTTTTTGGAATGCATAACAATATGATTAAACATACAATCAAAAATGTGGTATAAGAACCTGTAACAGTTAGAAAACTGAAATAAACATATATAGTTTTCAGAAAGGAAAAAAAAATCCCTTTTCATCATAGGAAAAAAAGAATGCTAAGACTGATAATTTTCTCAAAGGCCAGAACCTATTTCCTTTAAGGTACTAAAAAATTTAAAGAAAAATACAATAAATTTGAGGAGTACTTCTCAAAGTGTGATACCTGAACCAGCACCATCATTATCATCTGAAACTAGAAATGTAAATTCTCGGGTCCAACCCCAGACCTACTGAATTAGAAACTCTGGTGGTTGAACCCACATTCTATATATTAAGACATCCTGGTGATTCTGATCCATGCTCAAATTTGACAAACCACTGTTTAAGATGAACTCAAAATCTGGTGTCCTGAAAGGTCAATTTAAAGCCCTCTAGGTATTGTTAGTGCCACATAAAACCACACAATGTAGGTGTCCCCACCAAGAGCACCTGCTGCTGTTGCTGATAAACTTGGGGATAAAAACCTCAAGAGTATTCATGATATCAGAAATACAACCGCAACCCCACCTGAACTGTGACTAATCTTGATGCAAAAACAGTAACAAAACCTCCAAGCCCAACTTTAGAAACAATAGCTCCTGATGATAAATACTATCAAAAGCCCAGTGCTACCCTGGACAACTTTCTGGAAACTCTGAGCAATAACAAGTGAACTTGGAATCCCAGCTGACCACATACTGATAGAATCACAACTAATACCCAAACCTCTGGCAAAGATGTGAGGTTTATTCAACACACAATGGCGCTATTAACAGGATCCAAGCATTAAGTCATCTTGACATGGCATGCACAGATTAAGGCTTCAGAGTTGTTATATTGTGAACAAACTAAATACATGAAAAATAAAAATCCAAAACACGTCTATAGTAAATTCACTTATGACCTCATTTCTGCAGGAGAAGAAAAAAAAAAAAAACTCCAATACTAAAGAAAGGAAAATGTGGGAGAAATAATAGAAGTAAGAGATGGTAATATATTTATCTCTGTAAATACAACTTTTAAAAGTATTCTTTCAGGGTTTTTTAAAGATTTATTTATTTACACAAGAACTGGAGTACAGGTCATAGGCGTGAGAGGGTGAGAGAATTCACCAGAAAGAGCCAGGCGCAGAACAGGCAGACAGACCAAAGACATTGCTGAGGGGAGAAGCGGGCCAGGCAGGAGAGGTCTACAGCAACATGTGGGTTTCTCCCTGGCCAGCCTGGATTGAACTCGCGCTGCAAAGGCTGCGGATAGCTTCACAGCACAGAGATCAACCCTCTGCGCCATCCAGGAGGCCCAATTCTTTCAGTTTTATAAGAAATTTTTTAATACTTAAAAGTAGGAACTATACTTGCCCATGTGGTATTCGTCTCTTCAAAATACTTGCCTGCCATCTTCCTGGAAATTGTCCTAATCAATATAGAAATCTACCTTGTCTATACTCTAAATGTACCACCTTAGCTATGGCCCAGCAGTGCACTATACAACCTGCACAACTATACAAAGCAACCTAAAGAATTAGACCAAACCTGAACTTTCATAGTAAATAAGAAATCTTTCAGGCATTTGACTATAAAGCTCATAAAGTTCTGACTATAAAGTTCATAGAGCCTCCCAGATATGTACATAACCTATAACCTCATCTTTCCAAGTTAACTATGCAATAAAGCTATATCGCTCCAGAGTTCCAGCTTCAAGCAGATAAAGAACAGCAGGTTGTTCTCTGACCCTTGGCTTTCTATCAAACAGGATGCTGCTGCTTTGACAGAAAAGAAAAACGAGCTTAAGAATTCTACTGCATACTCATTCTCTTCACTTGCTTCTAAATCAATTTAATTTTTATTTACTTGTTTTTGATTTTTATTTACTTGTTTCATATAAAAATATGCCATTTTTGGCAGTTAATATCTCTGAGAACAAGAACACAATGATAGAGAAGTATCTGATGCAGCCTATCATAGAGCCATGGGGAAAGGAGTGATCTGATTACTAGCAAATTATTTTAGAGACAACAGATTGACATGAATAAAATATTCTTTAAAATAAATAACCTTTAAAATATTTTATTATATGAACAAACCCTAATGAAGTGAAATGGTAACACCAGAAACAAATCTGCTTGGGTATACAGCAACCTGGATTTTACAGTCACTCTTCACTTCTGGACCAGATAGAATGATTATTTCCCCTTCATTTAACTCTTAAAAGCGCTATCCCAGAGGCAATCTCCATGCATGATTGGTCTTACAATTAGCAAACTAAGGAAAACAAGGAGAATAAGGGAATTTCAAAGTCATTCTATCTAGTGACTTACTGTAATGAGATGAAGCCTGTAGAACTCTGCTTCAAGTATCTTGAGAAATTTTTCTCCACTCCAGCTTTCAAAAACTGTTGTAATTTATAATTGAGTCTCAGCAACTTGGGATTTGTCCTACCATTCTGTAAAAAGGACCACCATGTAGCAAAAATTAAACTGACCAAGTTTTTGTAGTGATATGGGAAATAAAAATGCAAAGAGGACACCAGAGATTTTTTAATTATCATAAACTTCTGACTTTTTAAAAAAAGTCTGGTAACAAGGGCAAATTCTGGGTCATGATTCCCAAAGCATGAATTTGAGAACTGAGATGATGACATTGTATATCTGGCATACTTTTGGGAGGCTGTTTTCCCAGTTTTATAAACTGCCAGAACTTTGTATATGAAAAGAGATGATTCTAAGTATTACTGAAAGGACCCCGCACACACTGGGGTAGTACAAGTTATTTTTTTAAAGTTCAAGCTAAACAATCCCATAGATTTTCTTCCTCCGGACTTATTCAAGCACCATTTTCTCAATTTACCTACTCCACCTGAATGGTCTTCTGTTGGAAAACAAAGCCTGACTCATTATTCTAAAGGACAATACTTTGCTCACACTCAGTTAAAAAAAAAAAAAAAGTATTTACTTTGTGTATTTACAAATTGTGTAAAATTTGTGTACTATAAAATGTATTTGCCATAGTATGTCATCCATTACAAATACACCAGTATCCTTCTCAATAAATGCAATTTTGAACTTCTCCCATCAAAAGTATACAAAGACTAGCAAACTTGCAGCACAGCTATCGTAACATGTATCATAAATAATCAGAAAAAAATTGATCACCTGAGGCTTTTATTGATCCTTACTCAGCTTAAGACTGTACGTAAAATTTTATGAGCTCAAAAAAAAGAGATCTTACTTAATAGTAGAGTCTATTCTTTACATTTGGCGCGGGAGTCAGAAACTTTAGACAAAGTCTTATAAAAGACCAGATAATAATATTCAGTGAGACAAATAGGGAATTTTGTTGTTGTTTAGTCTTAACCCCAAGAATTTGCAAATTATTTTGGTTGATTTGAGTGTATGTCCAGCTTCCCCTCTTCTTTCCCTCCTTCCCATCATCCCCACACAATGAATGGAAATAAAAGTTAGGTTTTTTCTATGTTGATTATATGGTTTTGGGTATGACCTTAGAAAACCAACTTCACAGACCAACTACACAGGCAGTCCTTGATTCATTCAATAAACAAGCTCCTGGGAGTCTACATAAGAAGCAAATATTTTTAAATCAAAACAAAATTTCCCAGGCAATATTGATGCGTTTATGGATGAAATGATAAAAGTGTCTAGAATTTGCTTCAAAATTAGCTAAGGAAGCCACGAAAGGGAGGGATGGGCAGTGAGAGAATTAGATGAAATAAGATTTGTTGTTGGTTGATAACTACTAAAACTATGAGAAGTGTACATATGGATTTATTATACAATTTTCTCAACTTTTATATTTTTTAAGTTTTATACAATAAACAAATTTGGAAAGAAAAAACAATGTGGCAAGAATTTGTTATAGGGGCCTCCCCAGTGGCGCAGCGGTTGAGCGCTGGGTTGCAAAGCTGCCTACAGCCTCTGCAGCGCCAGTTTGATCCCCAGCCGCCAGGCGAAGATCCCACATGGCGTGCAGACCTCTCCTGCTCTTCTCAGCAGTGTACTTCATCAGTCTGCCCGTTCTGCTCCCCGGTCTGGCTCTAGTGAATTCTCTCACCCTCCCGTGCTTCTGACTGTACCCAGTGCTTGTATAAATAAATTAATTAATTTTTTAAAAAAGAAGTTATTTACTACTATTATAATCTGCCAGTGTCTATTTAAAAAAAAAAAAGAATTTGTTATAGCTATGAATATTTTAAATTTACAAAGCTTACATTTGACAATCCCACATTGAGGAATATCTCCTATAGAAACACCAGTATCAATATGTACAGATATTTATGACAATACAGAAATGTTTGTAAGAGCAATGTGAGAAGGGAAAAAAAGGAGACCATTTAAATATTCACCCACAGAAGAATTCTATACAACAGAGTACTCTGTAATCACTAAAGAGAATGAAGCTGAATTAGAAGTTTCAATTTAGAAAGATCTCTCACACATTTATAGGCTATTAAGTAGAAAAATATGCATCAAAATATATGGTAATTCCCATTTAAAAAGATAGTCTGGGCCTCCCCGGTGGTGCAGCAGTTGAGTGCTGGGCTGCAAAGCTGCCCGCAGCCTCTGCAGCACCGGTTCGATCCCCAGCCACCGGCGAGGGTCCCACATGGTGCGCAGACCTCTCCTGCCGCACCCACTGCTCCCCTCAGCAGTGTATTTCATCAGTCTGTCTGTTCTGCTCCCCCTCTGGCTCTGGTGAATTGTCTCACCCTCCCGCGCTTCTGACTGTACCCAGTGCTTGTATAAATAAATAAATAAATCTTTAAAAAAAAAAATCAGTAAGATTCTGTTTATACTAATATGAGTTTATACATACACACTTATATAAACATAGAAAAGTCTTGAAAACTACACAGCAACCTACAAATAATGTTTTGAAGGGGTGAATTTAAAATGCAAAAGATATTTTTTTAAAGATTCATTTATTTATACAAGAACTAGGGTACAGTCCAGATGCGCAGGAGGGTGAGAGGATTCACTAGAGACAGAGCGGGGAACAGAACAGGCAGACTGACGAAATACACTGCTGAGGGGAGCAGCCAGTGTGACAGAGGAGGTCTGCTGCACCATGTGGGACCCTCGCCACCCGGCTGGAATCAAACCAGCACTGTAGAGGCTGTGGACAGCCCCACAGCATGGCGCTCAACCGCCTGCGCCACCAGGGGAGGCCCCAGAAGATACTTTTAATTAGATATCTGTAAGTTGTTTCTTTTTTTTGCAATAAATTTATAAAACTAAAATATTTAAAAGTTTATACTACATTTAAAAATAAGGTAGCAAACACATACAGGTTACTCAAATAACAAAAAGAAACTTTAATGAGACAGATTGTCACATACTCATATGATGTAAAGTAGAAAATAAAGATCCTGTCAACTAATATGCTTTTAACAGAATGTGAAAGAGAAAAGAAGAGGGCCTCCCTGGTGGCGCAAGGGGTTAAGCACCGCACTATGAAGAAATCTGCAGCCTCTGCAGCATGAGGTTGATACCCAGCCAGCCAGGGGGCAACCCACATGGTGCAGCAGACCTCTCCTGACTCACCCGCTGCTCCCCTCAACAATGTACTTGGGTCAATCTGCCTGTTCTGTTCCCAACTCTGTCTCTGGTGAATCCTCTCACCCCCCACATCTTTGGCCTGTACCCCAGCTGTTGTATGCATAAATCAATAAATCTTTAAAAAAAAAAAAAAGAGAGAGAAAAGAAGAAATGCAAATAATGGCATAGAGATGAATAAGTATGTAAGACTTCTACAGGATAGTCATGGATGGAGAGAACTGAAGTCGACTGGGTAAGAGATGAACACAGCGTAAAACAAATTTCTTTATATGAATTTCATTATATGAAAATGGTGTTGAAAAATAGATGAGAAGACTGGGTAGTTAGTGGCTATGAAAATTTTTCTTTAGAGTTTTCATTCATTTTTTTTTAATCTAGTGAATATTTACTACTTAATATATACTGGTTTTACCCTAGAGAGTATGAACTTGAACCAGCAATAATAACTGGCTGCTAGACTTCCATTTTAAAGTCATGTGACCACCACATGCATTTATTTATTTCTCTCCTAAGATCATGTCAAAGGGAAAGATACAAACCCATTCATTATTCTGAAAAGAACAAGAAATGAGCCTGCAGCTAACAAGAAATAGCCACATTTATGTGGAGAATGAGAGCTAATAAATGGCAGTAAGGATGAAGCAGGGTAGTACAAAAAAGAACCTAAAGTAGTTGCCAAGGGAATGAAATCCAAAAGGTAGTCTGAATACCAGCCATGACCAGGGAAAGGGTCTGGATTCAGAATGCCAGAAATAATAGGATACTAAAAACAAAGAGATTAACTTAAAGATTGAATGCAGAGGAGTCAAACTCATACTCAGTCACCCCATATGTGGAAATTTCAACAAACATCTAAGCCCGGGGCAAAGCATCAAAGGGATTTTTTTCTGGAGAAATTAATCACCTAAGAATAAACTGAAAAATCACTGAAATGTACATTTAAAATAGTTGTATGGTATGTGAATTATATATTAATAAAGGTATTTTTAAAAAGAAAAAAGCACTAATATTTCTTTTGTACCATGGTAGGAAATGAGTCTCTAAAATGTACCTAAAATTGAACATAAATTTTTTATTACAAATCAAGACACTGACTTTTTACTTTACATTTAAGAGGTTTAGTTTAAAAATATGCATCATTTGTGATGAAAATACATTTACCTGAAATTTAGTAATTCCATGTTTGATTTCCATTTCCTCTTCAAGTAATACTAATCTTTTTTTATTAAAAAGAGTATGATAGCATGTCAAATTTATTAAAATTACTTTCTTCTATTTACTGTCCTATTTATATGTTTGTGTGAAATGATGTTCATCTGGAATGCTGATTATCTACAGTTAACAACAGTTATTTCTTAGACACGTATTTGCCTGGTATGTTTTCGGGTCATCTTATACTTCTCTTTACTGCTTGATTTTATAAGCATGTAGTATAAAAAGAAAGACAAATTTGAAAATTAGAAGACATGTAACAGAACTTCCACTTTCGGTAGATGGAACATACATTGTTTTCCCTATTCCTCCCACTAAATACAACCAAAAACTCTAGGCATTATATGTAAAACAAGCATAAGAAAATCTGAAAGTTGAAAGATGAAGACAAACTGACTTGGAAACTCAAGGCCAAAGGAGCAATATGGTGATGTGTACCTGGGTTTTCTTTGTGTCTCTTATTCTAGACATGAAACTGAACAGACTGATAACCCAGAGATACTAATGGATTTAAAAAATAATAATAATAAGCATACTCTCTCTTGCCAAAAGATGACAAAAGGGGTGACCTAACAAAAAAGAAAATGTTTAAACAATCACCATCCTATTCCAGGCAAACCATAGAAAAGTATGAGGTCCACCCATATTCACAACTAGA